ATGATGAACTGCTCTATTGCTCTGGGAAAATTTGGAAAAAAAAGTCAAAGTCGGGCTGAGAGTTCTATTTTTGTGATTACGGAAAAATTGGACTACTACCTTAAACAAACAATTTCTTACCGCAGATACATAGCTTTTCGCATCCACAAGAGCGAGAAGCATAAATAAAAGTTAAATTGAGTAGTCATTGATAGATTATAAATAATTTTTTAAACCTCAGTAGACCCGAAGGTAGGAGGAGACCTCACAAATTCCATGAATTAAATAAAATTTCAATTAATTCAAACATTAGTTGTGATGAAGTTTCAAAAAAATGGAAAAATAATGTAGAACCATTCACGATATGTCGTGAAAGTTAAGACTGATTGATTCTTACTCTAATCGCCTAAAGCATTGAAACTACTTTAGATGTGTCAAAAATAGTACAATAATAGCATATCTAATTCAGTGATGGTAATATCAGCAAGATAATTAAAGCATATGTTACGTCACTAAGTATCAGTGGTCAACATTCTTCGTGGGAAAAATTCACCGTGGATATAGCATGGCAACATACATCGCAATATGATATCATCTACTAATTTAAAAAAATACCTTTATTCGCAAAAAAGGTTACGTTTTTGTCAGTTTCTTGTTCGCTCTCTTCTTCGATGACTGTCAGGAATACCAAAAATTTGAACCAAAAAAAAAAGTTCAACTGAAGAAGGTTTGATTTCTCTCATTATCCGAAGAGAAAGCAATCAGAATTCAAATACTAAGTCAATTAAATGATTTCATGATAGGCATTGTGAAAATGCACGCGTGGTTCAAGGAGGGATACTGCATTATTATTACTACTGCACGTCAGACACCGCATGTCAGGATACTGCATTATTCTAAACCGTAACGCTAATTAATCATACTTCGAAAATAATGGAATCCCACAAAAATTTATCCTTCTCCGATAACGGGAAAAATCGAGCGAGCAATGAGCAAGTCCTCTCAATATTCATAACATAAGGAATTGGTGGATGAACTGTCGATAAATGATGGCAACGACTGCAACAAAAGTAACACAATCCAAACACATATGTTTACATATTATTTGTTACAAACATATATAGTCGTCTGGATGAGGTACTCATTAGCAATAAACAAAACCACTGTCAAATGTTTCGTTTGTCGGTTTTCCAACGATTTGATGTGATCCGTATTTGTAACACGGTCATTCGATCTTCTCGAAAGTAAGTCTGATAGTGAAACTTAATATCGTTAATCACACGGTTTGGAATTCTCAACAGAGATGCAAATGAATAGGCTCGAAACCTCCCCAAAATCCCCTTAATTTAAATTTTGCGAAATGAAGTTGAGATTTAAATTATATTCAAACTTCATTTCAAATTATTTTGTAAAAGACCTCGAGAAGTTTAGTAAACATTCGGTTCTTGCAATGTTACGCAAATGAAGAGACGAGGGTAGAGAAATCAAAGACCAAACCATGATATCCTTAGCACCACCGCGACTACGCAAACTAAGTTCACATCAGCGCGTTAGAATTACATTTTCAATTCCTATGAAGACGGTATAGCTTCATTCTCATGAATGCTTTCCGAAAGTTATTTGGAAACTAACATAACAAGTATCATTTTTCATTATTTTTTCAATTTTAATCCGTTTCGTTTCGTATCTATTGAAGTCCTTCACGGTTTTCCAAGAATAAAGACCTGTTCATGCTAAATTTTGATCTAATCGATTTAAGAACTCTAAACAATAATAACAATTTATTATTGCAAAGTCAAATAACAACAAAAAAATGGAAATATTTTTATCAGAACTTGTCGAAAGATTTCTTAGCTCCCGACGCCTTCAATACTTTCAGCACATTATACCGTACAGTCTTCGACAATGGACGACACTCACCAACTGTTACTATATCTCCCACTGCTATATCCCTGAAAAAGCTACTCTTGAAAGAAATCGCCACAACATTTACAAATTTCTTGGAAGGCTGATGCACAAGTACAAACACGTAAACTTTCGGGAAAAAGTAGAAGCAAATTTCTTTTTTGACGATGAAGTCAGGCTGACACTTATAACAGGGATTAGACACTGTTGCCCGCTGAACACGAAATAAAATTAACTGAATGGATGGTAGGCTTACAGTTGCATTGCAGTCGGAGGAATGGGAAAAAGAAAACTTCGATGATTCGGAAATCTTTTGAATGACAGAAAAACCATAAGTTGTTAACCTGAATGCAGGTGAGCAATGAACGGACATATTACGATGACGTTTCTCATATCGACGATATTTTTTAATGAAATGCAAATAATCTCGTCGAATTACTATTGTTCTTTGCATCTTCATTTTCACAACAACACCTGTCAGTATACGTCCACGAATCGAAACATTCCCAGTGAATGGACATTTTTTGTCAATATATGTTCCAGTTATGGCCTGTAATTGAAGTAAAACTCAAAGAAAAATTCCGAAACGCATTACATGAGCACTGTCGAACTCTGTCCGCTATATAATGTCTCCAACAAAATCAGGTATGGATAATAACGGCTCTAAATGTTTTCTGAAGGGTTTAAAATATGCAGCAAAGCAGTATTCCTCGAACTCAAGACATAACTTATCGATATGAAAAGTGTCCCCAGAATATTTATTCTAAGCGTTACAAGCACCCATAGGTTTACTATTCAACCAGTAAATAGAATTCAGACAAGGTGAACATGAACGCATAACAAAGTGAAATAATCAAAAAACCACCCTGATACTCACCTCACGCGGTGTTTTGAACCCCAACCCAACATTTCGAACATAACGTACATCCTTCTTCGCTTTCTTACCGATTCCCAAGGTTCGTAATTTACTGTTCAAAAATACAGTGGGCTGTTTTTGGAACGCTCTTTCTGTTTGTTCCGCCATCTTCTATGCTTCCAATTTATCCACAGAATTCAAGAACCCTGAAGATATTTCTCATTTCAATGAGAAGTCTTACAGTTTAGATTGCGGCAGAAAAAGATCATATATATTTGAGCGAAATACCAAATGATCGTCTGAGTTATTTTATGTAGCGCGTCCCGTAATGAATGCTTCATACAGAAAAGCAAGATATCAGATCTACTTTAAACCATTCAGCAAGGCCATAGTTAATTGCTTGAGTCCTGTAAGTGAGCACTCAACGTATCTCTCAGTATATTGGGGTTTTATCAAACTTTCTAAGACATATTTTATTTTGAGTTAAATGAGATGTCACAGAATGAAGACCATGCGATCTTAAGCAGTATATTGATTCCTTCTCCCAGAAAGCGAACTACATATCAAGCACGCCAAAGCACATCGGCGTCTAACGACACTTTGGACGCCGATGTTTTGCCATGTCTGATCTCCGTCTTTTGTAAATATGCTTCGAATATTAAATTAAGCCTCTATTACCCGAAATTATATGTTTCGGCATGCGAATTTAGTTCATTCACTGCAGATTCCGCATATACCAACTAAGTCCAGTATATTGCGAGATGAATTAACCTACGATCAATCACACGATATATTCAGTAATCGTACATTCTTACTGCGCAACAGTTCCATATTCGAGGAATAGAACCAACATCAAACACTGTAAAACAAACCCCACACCGCTATACCCACAACCCCGAAGTACAAGGACCTAAAACACATTTCTACTGATACCTCTGCGGCCCCGTTAAATCTCGTACACTCGCGATAAGTACTTCCTGACCCGGTGTGGGGATAGTCAGGACTTCGTGTAAGAACCTGTGACAGTTTGTAACTTCCCGTGAAAGATTCTTAGGACAGGATGACTTATCACCACTGAGTTACAGTGATGTTTTTAGAGTCGTTTAAAATTTCTTTAATTGTTATTAAAGACAAACAAATAAAATCACATTACATGTGCATAGGTATATGTATCTGTATATCACCGTGAAGAAATTCGTCCTTTATTTGCCTTGAAAAACCACTCCCGAATTTGGCTCACAAAAAGTATCAAAAAAGAAATGCCTGAAATGATCTTGAGAAAAAAGGATGAAATACTACAAAACGTATTTGAGACACACTGAAGTATGACCAGTTAAGTTGCAAAAGAAAGAAACTGAGGAGTAACTAACCTACACAACAAAGCACAGAAATAAAGCAAACGAGCGGAAAAAGAAGAGCCAAGAACTGTGATGGAAATACCGATCTGATCATGAAGTCCTGAGGCATGAAAGGCTAAAATGTTAACTGATAATGTACAGATACGGAAAACTCCTGTCATATTCGAAATGTACTGGTGAGATAAATTTTCGTTGTCTTTTTAAAGTAAAATCAGCTCTCTTGTGTCACGAGTTTATGATGACAACCATCCAGGAACAAATTAGAAATTCCTGGCACAGTGGATAACTTCACTAATTACCTAGAAATCCACGAGCATTGACTACTACTACCAGTGAGTTTTATATTTGAGATTATCACTAGCTAGCTTTGCATGGTATCAACTTACCATAACATAGATCCATACAAGAAGATACGGGAAAATCACAGCGGAAAGAGCTAACAAGAAATATCCTGCACAAAGATCTGTAGCAATCATGGAGACCTAATTACCACGAGTATTGAAAGCAACTTCAAACCCTAATTAAAAATACTGAGTTAACTTCCGTATCTGTGGAACACACAATCCTTATCCCTTTCACGGCTATAAGTTCGCAATTTGCTTAGGGATGATTTTCTTTTTAAACTTTGTCGCTATTTAATTACGAAAAATATGAAAATAAAGAAATGGAACTGGTAACCGTGAAAAGTGATCGATAAATTGAGGTCAATTTTATTGAAAATCATTTCGAGTAGCAGAAAGATCTTTTTTCTTTTGAAAAAACAAAATTTATTATTGCAATTTTTATAATAATTCAAATAATAAACGAAAACTTAAAGCTGTAATTACCAGTGGTCACAAAATATCCGCCGGAAAATTGCTAAATTTGTTTGCAGCACTTTTAAATTTAATCATACTTCCAAAATGCCGAAACGGTTGTGTTTTTATGTTTTGTTTTGTTTTTGCCTTTTTTTCG